ATGGCCCTAAGCATTATCTGATGGTGCCTCAGTTTAGGAACTTCATTTTTGAATAAAACACTTTTATTTTTCTTAGACCTTTTTAGTCCAATTGCAGTTAATTGATGTCCTTTGGGTCTTCCTTTATGGGTTTCAAAGGAAATTTAATACTTTTTATTTTTTCTTCTAATTGGTTTTGTGCAGTAGTATTTGGTTCTTGGGCTAGTTTCATTAAAATGGTGTCGCAAATATCTACAAAGAATAGGTAATATGCAAGATAAGTCTGTTTCTGCAGAAATCACAAATTAGTAAGAGCAAATTTCATTGGTTGAAAACAGTCAGAAAACTAGTATCAACCAATGAAATTCACTCTGACTGGTTTGTGATTTCTGCAGAAACAGACTTATCTCGAATACCTATTATTCTTTGTAGATAGGTACTTGCGACGATACTCCTTAATTAGACAGAATTAGAAATAAACATCTATTTTCGGATCTTCAATATTACCAACTAGTACAGTAAATAGGGATATTTTACTAAAAAAAAATACTTAATGGCTGAAATTTTGAGGGTGTGTTCGGGGGCATGTCCTGAGTCTAAAATTGAGTTTTCGTATTCGAGGGGGTGGGGGAAGATACTACCCCCTCTTTATGTAGGGTTGAGTTCGTTTTAATTCCTTATCTTCGGTGCTATTGCCCGTACCGTCAAGTCCGAGAGATCAAATTTGTGGGAAATAAAATTATCTATCTAATGATGATAAAATCAAGGTCATAGGACGAGGTGAATCACAATGGCCGGTCAAAGGTCAAAAGTGGGGGGTAGTTTTTGGTTTTTCGTGAATACCGTGAAACCGGTAGGTTTTTTCGATACTGCTTCGATACCATTTCGAAGTACTTGAAATAACCTACAAAATGAGTGCTCAAACACTCATCTACTGTGAATAGTTTGCCGTCAATCCAACGACCAAGTTGACCGCGCGCGCCGATGTTGACCGCGCGCGCTTGGGAAGCGTCAGAGCAAAAAATGCCTAGAGACATTTTCGACGTATTTTTTCCTCCTCTATGCGATTAAAATTTTAATTTTTTAAAATTCGTGAAAATAAATGCAAAACGCGTATACCCCATTCTACACCCTTTCTCAAAATTGGGAGATAAGGGCTAAAACCTTTCCTATAATACCTATGTCGTAGAGAGCTGAAACTTGAAATTAAACCTTTTTTAGACCCCTTTTACCTACACTTTAAATTTCATCCAAATCGGCCCAAAGCCCTTGGGACGTCATTTTTAGATCGCAAAGTTCGCTGAAAATTTCATTTCCGCCCTCCCCCCCCCCCCACCTCACCCGTTTGGGCTGTACAGGGGTCGAAAGTCAAAACTTTGACTGCCCCCCCAAGGTTGGGGGGCGAAATGAAATTTGTTTTGACTCGACAAAATTAAAAATTCTAAGTCCCCTGAAAATTTCAACTTTCTAGCTTATCGGGAAGTACAACATCGGCGCGCGCGGTCAACTTGGTCGTTGGATTGACGGCAAACTATTCACAGTAGATGCGTGTTTGAGCACTCATTTTGTAGGTAATTTCAAGTACTTCGAAATGGTATCGAAGCAGTATGCGAAAAAACCTACCAGTTTCACGGTATTCACGAAAAACCATCAAAAACTACCCCCCACTTTTGACCTTTGACCGGCCATTGTGATTCACCTAATCGTCCTATGACCTTGATTTTATTATCATTAGATGGATAATTTTATTTCCCACAAATTTGATCTCTCGGACTTGACGGTACGGGCAATAGCACCGAAGATAAGGAATTAAAACGAACTCAACCCTACATAAAGAGGGGGTAGTATCTTCCCCCACCCGCTCGAATACGAAAACTCAGTTTTAGACTCAGGACATGCCCCCGAACACACCCTCAAAATTTCAGCCGTTAAGTATTTTTTTTCAGTAAATGCGATTTATTTGTCTCTATTTACTACTGTACTAAATAAAGATCCGCATTTTCGGACCCCTAATATACAAATTGAAAATCCGAAAATTATCGGATCTTTAGTATGAACACTAGAGATCCGAATTTTCGGACCTCTATCTACTGCCAAAACCATTTGATCCTATGGAGATTTATGCAATTTTGTGTTAATATAATTATAATTTTGTTTTTGTTATTTGTGCCTGTTATTGACTATTTTGTGATAAAAAGTCAGGAAGAAAAGAAAAAACAAATACAGGCCATAAGGTGGCGAAAAAGCAATTTGCGCACTAGACAAAATTCGGAAATGGTAGGGGCGTAAACTGAACTGTAAACCCTACCCTCGGTAAACCGATGGGGAACAGTGGGGTGTAGGTACTCAAGGGAATAACTATGAGATGATGTGACGTCATGCCAGAAGTTAACTTTTAGTTATTTATTAAAATAGTTTTATAATACCCGCCCTTTAGCCGACCAAATGTTTTTTTGTTTTGTTTTAATAGTCGCTAAATGCGATCGTTTGCTGGTCCTTTGGTGATCTCTGGTACAGTTACTATTACCACAGTGGCGACAATTGCCGTCTTCTTTTTGATTGGTTCTTTAAAATCCCATATATTCATATGGAAAACGCCGCCATTTTGTGCTTAACCTCTTGCTGATTTTAAATATGAATATACATTTTTTTTTTTAACTTTAGTTAAAAATAATTAATAACCGGTATTTCCTCCTCTATTTTGGATAATAGCACGGCAGCGATTTTTCATGTTAAAATTACGGGCCTTATCTTGCTTTAATCCAAATTATTCAATATTTTGACAATATCTCCAGTAAGCCCATTCAAAGTGTTAGGAGGGTTAGGAAGCTCTTGAAAATAGCGACAAATCATGTCCCAGCTCCCAGCCATCCTCAATTGGGTAAAAATCAGAACTGTTTGCTAGCCAATCCATAGTTCCAATTCCAACCTCATTAAAATAGAAATAAGTAAGTGGTGCTTAGATTAGGGAGGGGAGAGGATACCGCGCACTGGTTTAACGCAATGCTAGGCTTTTGTTACATCAATTGACCGGCCGCCATTTTATATGTGGCAAACAAGCTTCTGTGGCAGTGTTGATATTTTGTGACTAAAAAGTTTTAATATTTGACTAAATTTTCTGCTAACAGACATGGTGAATTGTTGTGCTTTTCAGTGTAAAAGTCGTAGCGAGAAAAAGGAGCCGGGAGTATCTTTTCACAGGTAATTAATAAACAATGCATAATAAAACCATCATTATACAGGCGCTTTTTTTATATTTGGGGACAGATTTTATACATGCCCTATAAGTATCATATTATACTGTGTGTAAGCAAATTACGGGCCTAAATATAATTCCCTATTTTAAATGTTTCCATTGAAAAATCAATAATTTTGTTGATTCGATCTGTCAAATCCTTTGAATCTACCAGTGGCGTAGACCATTTAAATACTTGATTTTAATTTTAAAAAGTCCTAAAAACTAATTAAGAGCGAATAAACTGATTATTTCCTAATTTACGCCCCAAAATACGTATATCCTGAAAAAATCGTAAATTTTGGCGTGGTGATCAACCATTTAGACATTTACCGTTTTAACTACGTATGATTTTGTGATACGCCACTGGCCTAAACGGTCTTGGGCCAGCCGGTAACACGCAGGCTTGACGGATTACCAGTCCTCTCTCTTTTCTTGTCTAAGGATGTAAACATGGTAGGCAACCCTAACTGCACATTAGGGGCAGTAATCCGCGCGCACTTGTTATACGTTAGTGTTAGATACGCGATTTGTTGTAATTTTTTGTTTTCTGATGAGTCGTCATCACTTTTACTAAATAGAAAAAATCTTGGGGGATTATGTAAGGCATCAGAAGATGTAATAAAACTGTGCAGTTTAGCCGGAAAAAAATTTCGTACTCATTACACTCCAAACACTACACTCAAAAAAATTATAATATGGACCATGAGTGACATGAACATTCACAATTATTTTAAGGAGCTTAGTGATCATATATTGGACCAAGATCCTATTAATAATCATTTACTTCAGCTGATCAACGCAATTTTACGTGTTTATTTTCTCGTTAGAATCCATTATCAGAATAAAGGAAGCAAGTAGAATCACTGATAGAGTTAGGCAAATGTATACAAAACTTGTAATTTTTAAGAACCAGTAGAATTAAAATCAGTTTTGCATCTAAATCCTAAATTTAAGTTTACATATAAGTATTTGTACCTTACAATCTAGTATTTTGTGCCTTTGAATTTGCCCAAGAATTGTTTAGGAATAACAAGTTTTTTTATCTAAGTGTTGTTTTATTTTTTTGCCTCGCAGGTCTGCACAAAACACATACATTTAAGCACGTCTGGTTTTTAGTTTTTAATGATACACTATAGATAACTAAATATATGTCACCTTTAAATGAAATTATGTGTTATTTCTCGTTGTGGGTAATGCGCTTGTGTAGCTTCTTGCCCACAATGCGAAAGACTGGTTGCCTAACCATATTTCCATCACTGCCGCGTACGGCAACTATACGGAACACGCAGTCCATTTCATACTCACGTCTCTGGCACTAGGTCTGATGCCCAGGGTGATTTCGAACGCACTCTAGAAGTAAGCTCATAGGGAAGTAAGCCACGCCCCCGCCGCCATATTCTTGCTCATTTTCGATGTGAATATATGGGATTTTAAAGAACCAATCAAAAGTAGGACGTCAATTATTGTCGCCACTGTGGTTTTTTCTCACTGTAGGTTGCGGATTTTCATTTCACAGCAGGGGCGTCGCGTCGGGAGGGGTAATTACCCCCCAAAAGAAAATACAAAATATATTGGAGAAAATTATTTTTTGTTTTGTTTTATTCTTCTCACAAAGGAAATAATTGTTCTGGAAAAATGAATGACCTTGAAATTTGCAAAAAATTTCGCCTGTGCGCGTTTTCGGAGGGCGCCTCCTCAACCCCCCCCCCCCCCCCCGTACCATTTACCCCCACCAGACTGATGGTCGTGCGTCGCCACTGTTTCACAGAATTTTAAATTATAGAATTTCCGGATTTTTTTTTCTGCTTTGTGAAAAGAAAAAATATATATAAATATGGACAGGGACGACGACATTGATGCTTACTTTAAAGACGATGGTTCAAAAATACGTTCCTTGGATTTGCCAGTTCTTAAAAAAATAATGCCTTTATTGGAACATAGGCACAAAAAAGGTAATCAAGTATTTATTGAGATTCTTTTTTAGTATCTTCAAATTTGTTCAGAATCAAAGTTAAAAAGTTTCTTATTTTAGATTCTGAAATCTTTGAAAAACTTGTAAACAACAGTAACCAACTGCGCCAAACTTTGGGCAGCTTAGAAATAGATAACAACCAGCTAGACAAATCAGTGAAAAAAAAGTACCAAATATACGAGGTTACCCAAGATTACTTTTATTTTCAATACATCTGAGTTTTTATGTGTTTCTTATTTTAGGAACTTGAAATCAGAGGTACCAAAGCTGAAAGAAAACTTAACAAAATCAAGGTGATGTGTCCAATATATGAAACCAAAATGAACAAGTTTCTGGATGAGCTTTCTGGAAAAGACGAGCCCAAGATTAAAAAAGGTACAGGTGATGGTGAGTATCTTATTTCACAAATTACATTCTATAATGTTAACTAAATTTGCTAAAAATTTAAGAATCAACCACTCCAACAAGCAGCTGGCTTCAGTTGGAAGAAACCTTAATCAAGAGGAAAAAAGATCTAGAGGGTTCAGCTAAAGTAAATCAAGAGAAAATTGATAAGTTTGTCGAGAAATACTTGAATTAAATTTAATTAGGCATAACTTATTATCTATAGGGTGGCACTATGATTTATTCAATAAATGTCAGTTTTTCAAATTTTATTTTATTTTTGGACTTTCAAACATTTGGTTCTCTAAGTTTGGAAATACATGTTCACATTTTGAATATATTTTCTAGCTTCCACTTCGACCTGAGCCTGAGGTGCTCGCAGAGCGCATATAGGCAGAACGTACAATGGCTAAGCAATAGGCGTTTAAAGTCTAGCACTGATTGGCTATTGCTAATGTGGTGCACTAAAATGCCCGCACCATTTACCTGCAATCGTCATATGGCAAATACCGAGATTAGATTCAGGCATAATATAAAAACAGCATAATTTATAAGTGAGAGCAAAGGTGAGAGATATCAAGCAAATTGAATCAATAATGCAAACTTCTCTGACTAACCCGTCTGCCTAGTGCTATTTTGGTCCTCGTAAGTTAGCATTTTATTTAAAAAACAAAGCCCGCTTGAGGAACGTTACGCATAAGACTGAATTAACTTTTTTTTTTAAATAAAATAGTAACTTATAAGTACTACACCTTTTCCATATGTATTTCAGAGATCGTCAGTTTAATTTCAGAAAGCGTCAATTGCAATTAAGATTAGTAAATTGTAATTTGGAAAGCATCAATTGTATTTCAGATTAGTTAATTATATTTGAGAAATAGTCAATTGTATTTCAGATTAGTTTATTTTATTTCAGAAAGTGTCAATTGTATTTCAGATTAGATAGTTTTATATCGGAAAGCGTCAATTGTATTTCAGATTAGTTCATTGTAGTTCAGAAAACGTAAATTATATTTCAGAAATTATCAGATGTAGTTCAGAAATCATCAGGTATCTACGCAGATTTTCCCAAATCAACACAAGATAGGTGTATAGGTGACTCATTATAAATTTTATTTAATACACTACATTGATAATATCTGAAATACATTTGACGAATTCTGAAATACAATTTACAATTTCTGATCTACAAATAAATAATCTGAAACACAAATGACGATTTCTGAAATACAAGTGACCAAACTGAAATACAAATGACTTTTTCTGAAATATAATTGACCAATCTGAAACACAAATGATATTTTCTGAACTACAACTGACAAAGTTGAAATACAAATAACACTTTCTGAAATTGAACTAACACAACTGTAATACAATTGATGCATTCTGAACTAGAATTGATGAATCTGAAATACAAGTAATACATTCTGAAATACTTATGGAAAAGGTGTAGATCCTAGACTATATTGCACTCAGCCGATGGGTTAGTTTGGGCAAGTCTGTATTTTCTCGATTATTATCAGACGGATATGAACGTTTTTAAAACGTGCCTTCTGGTTTATATGCTTTGTAAATTATTTAATACAGGGTTTATCCAACTTTTGCTTAAGTAGGTACACGGTACACCTAGGACATTTTCAGCCAAATTTCTTTTTCGTTTCGGTCTCACTTGTCCGATCAGCAATATCCAATCCAATCAGCGCTAGGTTTTAAAGACTTAGTGCTAGTCCGCTATATGTGTTTGCCTTAAGGGTGCTGGCAAAAGGTACACCGTATCAGCAATAGCCAATCAGCGCTGGACTTTAAACGCCTATTGCTAAGCCGTTGTACATTCTCTCTATATGCATCCAGAGCATTTCACATTAATCTTTTGTTTAAATTTTAGGTAGGTATGTTTGGTTGGGAACCAACTCGGACTAGACGCAGTTGAGTTGGTGCAGAACCACAGATCAAAGGACAAAGAGTCATACAGTTATAGCTTTGTTCCAACACATAAAGAAACCGTACAATGTACAGGGTCTATGATTATATTTAATTATAATTTCATAATACATAATTATAAATTAGAAAAAAACTTCCAAGTTTTGTATATATATTTTTTCTCTATCTCAAATAGTAAAGACTGTAGGTATGGCCCTAAATATATTCAAAGACCCTGTACAGTCACGATTCTGCGCAAATTCAGACTGACACTAAGTAACCGCGTGATATTTATAGGCAACATTGTAGCCCCTCTAATATTTACACAAAATTTCACAAAAATCCGCCAAATTTAAAAAAATATATTCAGAGCCATTTTGGGTTCCAAATAAATTTGGCCCACAGTGTAGAAGTGCATAAGCATAAGAAATTAATAAATAATTAAGTAAATGCATATTTATTGATTTTATATAGTGATCAATAAGCAACTTTTCATCAAAATTCTATAAATATTTAACATTTTAGTGGAAATTATCTAAGAAGCCATCAAAAATGAAGTCCTCTTTCTTTTCCATGCTTATAATTATTAGATTTAAGACTAACACCATCATAAGAGGTACTAGATAGTTCGGTTTCAATTGAAGCACCTGTTTCTTTCATAGTTTTCAATAATTTTCCTGCCTCAGGTCGAAATTCCGCTCGAGGTACTGCTGAATCCATTACCCTATAAAAAAATATTATTAGGTAAATATATTTTGTATTTAAAAAATACATTAATTACTCAATTTTTTTTTTAATTCCGTCTGATTGATTAGCTTTCAATATATTTGATTTTTCTTCTATTCTATAATCTTGGAAACTCTTATGGAATGCTTTGATTATTGGTTCTTCATTTATCCATTCCAACATTTCCGCTTGGGCAGATTCCATAACAATGGTTTTTGAACTAAAAAAAAAAAAATTTAATTAAGTGTTAATTCAGCAGCCTGTATGAAGTGATAGTCCGAGTAATAGTCATAGTTATATTTGTACTTCTTTAGTTTGTCTCTCAATAAATCAGTGAAAGGTAAAGATGTCCATTGTTCACCTACATCACTTTATCAGGTTATGGGCCAAAAATACACAAGCAATAGTAGAATATTTAGTAAGCACATACACTCATAGAGTCATAGGCCGAGCAACAAAGCAATGAATTTCAAAATAAAAAGAATTTGAGAATGGCAAGAAATATATTATGTCTATCGCAAGACTTCCTGTCTCAAATTTAAATATGCAAGAGTCTTTTAGCAAATTGGCTTTTTAGAGTAGCTAAAAGCGGGGATAAAAGCAATACTACACCATTTCAACCTCAATTTCGGAAAAAGTAACTTTTATTTAGGAAAATGTAAAGTCATTTTCGGAAAAAGTCAAATCAATTTCAGAAAAAGTAAAATTAATTTCGGACAAAATAAAATCAAATTCGGAAAAAGTAAATTCAATATCGGAAAAAGTACATCAATTACGGAGGAAGTAATGTTATCTGTTCGAATAATTCGAATTGATAAAAAGTAAATTTAGCAGTGACTATAACCTCCAGTCGAACCCGTACCCTGACGGTTTCGATTCCAATCAGTGCACCTACTTTAATTAGGTTCTACACCATTTCAACCTCAATTTCGGAAAAAGTAACTTTTATTTAGGAAAATGTAAAGTCATTTTCGGAAAAAGTCAAATCAATTTCAGAAAAAGTAAAGTTAATTTCGGAAAAAGTAAATTCAAATTCAGAAAAAGTAAATTCAATTTCGGAAAAAGTAAATTCAAATTCGGAAATAGGTATTTACCTAACAAGTGCGGAAAATCAATTTTTCCGCACGCGGCTGCCGTTCACCGAACGACGCGTAGCGGAGTTCGGTGATAAAAATATTTTCCGCAAGTGTTAGGTACAATATTTTTCCTACAGGCGGAAAAATGTAAAATTTTTCTTTTTTTTTTGACATATCAGTGCGGTAAAATTTTTTCCGCACTGACAACCGTGCGGAAAAACTTTTTCCGCACTGATATGTCAAAAAAAAAAGTTTTACCGCACCGTGCGGGAAAACTCATTTTCCGCACGCATATCAGTGCGGAAAATCGATTTTTCCGCACGGCTGTAGGAAATAGCTATTTACCTAACAAGTGCGGAAAATTAATTTTTCCGCAAGTGTTAGGTACAATATTTTTCCTACAGGCGTAAAAATGTAAAATTTTTCTTTTTGACATATCAGTGCGGTAAAATTTTTTCCGCACTGACAACCGTGCGGAAAAACTTTTTCCGCACTGATATGTCAAAAAAAAAAGTTTTACCGCACCGTGCGGGAAAACTCATTTTCCGCACGCATATCAGTGCGGAAAATCGATTTTTCCGCACGGCTGTAGGAAAAACTACATTCAATTACGGAGAAAGTAATGTTACTTTTTACACCATTTCAACCTCAATTTCGGAAAAAGTAACTTTTATTTAGGAAAATGTAAAGTAATTTTCGGAAAAAGTCAAATTAATTTCAGAATAAGTAAAGTTGATTTCGGAAAAAGTGAAGTTAATTTCGGAAACAGTAAATTCAAATTCGAATAAGTAAATTCAAATTCAAAAAAAGTATTAATAGCCGTTTGCACCGAACATTTTAAGGTAGGTTTAACGATAATCAACGTTTAAACTGACTTTATTACATGTAAAAATGTCACTTTAAACGTTGATTATCGTTATAAACGTTGATTATCGTTAAACCTCCCTTAAAATGGTCGGTGCAAACGACCATAAGTAAACACAGTTACAGATCTACTTAGAAAATCTAGCCGACATCGTTGTTGGACGAATTATTGCTGGAATTTGATTCCGAGCATATAACTATGTCCAGAGACATTATCCTGCAGTTATTAGACTGGATGATTTCAATCTGGGAACATAATATTTAGAAGTACATGTAATTTTTCTAATATTTGAGTACCTATAATTTTTAATATATGTTATTTTCCTATGTAATTAACTCATTTTTTGTTTAAATAACTTATCCGAGAACTTATCACTTTTTCCGAATTTGAATTTACCGTTTCCGAAATTAACTTCACTTTTTCCGAAATTAAGTTTACTTTTTCTGAAATTAATTCGACTTTTTCCGGAAATGACTCTACATTTTCCTAAATAAAAGTTACTTTTTCCGAAATTGAGGTTGAAATGGTGTACATAATATTGGTTCTATATTATTTTGTAACTCTGATGATGCTCATATGAGCGAAACATATGTCACTATTAAGTGAATAAAATAATAAACAATCTGTAATTTTTTTCTTTCTTTTATTATTTAAAAGTCGGGTCTCTTTGAGAAATATGGATAAATTTTTTGATTTTCTAAATAGATAAATGACTCAATCAATTCAAATTATTCTATAAAAAATAACATTACTTTCTCCGTAATTGAATGTATTTTTTCCTACAGCCGTGCGGAAAAATTCATTTTCCGCACTTGTTAGGTAAATAGCTATTTCCGAATTTGAATTAACTTTTTCTGAATTTGAATTTACTTTTTCCAAATTTGAATTTACTTTTTCTGAAATTAAATTTACTTTTTCTGAAATTGATTTGAAAAAAAAAATTGAATTACAAAGTTGTTTGATACTCTAGTATGCATCAGTTGAAAATATTTTTTAATATACAGGGTTCGCCGTTTATGGAGTATGCGACAGAACTTTGTTATTTTAAAATGGAACACCCTAAATGTGATTGCATATTTGGATTCTATGTAAAATTCTGAGCAGATTTTATGTGATATACCCTATATCTAAGTTCAACTGTTTTGGAAATATTGACAGTTGAAAATTGACTTTTTGCAACTTTGATAGGCTGTTAAACCTAAACGGTTAATTTTAGACGAAAACCGATTTCACATTCCTATCTTAGATTTTTATAAACTATCATTTGACAACAACTTTGAATTTAATCCATGATTAAAAATTCCAGTTAAATTTAATCTCCGGTTAAATTCAAACTTGGTGTCAAATGATAGTTTATAAAAATCTAAGATAGGAATGTGAAATCGGTTTTCGTCTAAAATTAACCGTTTAGGTTTTACAACCTGTTAAAGTTGCAAAAAGTCAATTTTCAACAGTCAATATTTCCAAAACAGTTGAACTTAGGTATAGGGTATATTGCATGAAATCTGCTCAGAATTTTACGTAGAATCCAAATATGCAATCACATAGAGGGTATTCCATTTAAAATAACAAAGTTCTGTCGCATACTCCATAAACGGAGCACCCTGTATATTAAAAAATATTTCCAACTAATGCATATTAGAGTATCAAACAACTTTGTAATTTAAATTTTTTTTCTTGCATCACCCTGTAGGGTGATATCGTCCGATATCGCACTAAGTGGACACCCTGTATATATATATATATATATTATAATAGAAGCTCAAGAAGTGTTGATAGCTGACAGTCCAACAATAAATGTGAATTTCATTATAGATTGAAGTGCATGCCACTTGGTATGTACCCAGGTAAGTATGTAGTAAACACAAAATTTTCCATCCAACCATTTGGTAAAGAAATTATAATAATATCGGCACATTCAATATCACTGACAACATTGTTCGAGCGCTAGATGAAAAACAGGCATCCATACTGGTGCTTCTGGACTATTCAAAGGCCTTTGACCTGATCGACCATGACCTATTGTGTGCCAAACTGTCTTTTTATGGGTTCAATGAGATTTCTACTTCATTCTTTAGGTCCTATTTATACAATGAACCCAAGTTGTGCGAATTAAAGATAATCTCTCACAACCTCGAACTGTGATTTCTGGAGTACCCCAGAGGTCCATTCTTGGTCCCCTGCTTTTTGTTATCTATACATCTGATATCTTCTCGGTGGTCTCAAACTCTCATTTGCAAGCATATGCCGACGACACCCAGCTTCTATTAAATCTTGATCCCTTATACCCTGAAAATGCGGCAATGGAGTTAAACCAGGACTTAATATTAACCCTAAAAAGACAGAAGTTCTCCTTTTCTGTTCCGAAAGACTACGGGACTTTCTGACTGATCGTTTGAAAATACAGATTGGCACTGATGTTCTTGGCTTTTCCAACTGTGCCAAAAATCTGGGATTACACCTGGATGTTCATAATATAAGGTTTCATAAACATGTTCATAAACATGTACAAAGTTTGCTGCAAAATAGTTATATTAAGATGAAGCTCCTATATACAAGCAGGTACATACTTAATTTTAAAATGAGAAAAAAATTGTGTGAAGCACTTGTATTATCAATTTTTAACTATTGTTTTATAGTCTACTATCCATTTCTAGATTTAGTCACTAAAAAAAGAATCCAATATGTACAAAATACATGTAGGTTTGTTTTAAGTTTAAGGAAATATGATTCTGTGTCAGTTAAATTAAACGACTTGGTTGGCTGAAATGTGATAATATGTATAAATTATATTCATTGATTTTCTTTAAAAAATTATTAGATTGTAAGGAGCCTGCATATTTGTATAAAAAAATAGAGTGTAGGGCTGATGCACATAATGTTCATAGTTTAAACTTAAGAAATGGTACAACTTTCACAGTGCCTAAACACAGAACTTCACTATTTCAGAGAAGTTTCTCTTATTGTATGGTAAAACTGTTGAACTCAGTTAATTTGCCATTCAGAGAATACAGTGTATATGAACTGAGACTAGAATATAAGAAGCGATTGTTACAAAATAGCTAATGTTACCTATATAGATGATAGATGCTACCGAGGATGCTACAATACCTGTTATTTTTGCTTTACCTTTACTTAAAATGTTGGCCCAATGTGGGGCACAGATGGTTGAGTGGAAGAATGGCCATTGGCTAAACTTCGCCACCTGTGTTCTGTATGCGTGAATCATATATTATATTATATTATATATTATGAATGTATGAATATGCAAATAAAGAC